TAAAACTAGTGTTTGTACCACTTGTCTATAAAATCACGCACAAGCTCATCATTCCATTCTTTGCTATCCGTAAACATATTTGCAATGGTTGACATTGGAATACGTCTACATCGATGTAAAGCAAAGAATAATGTATATTGACCACACACGTCCGATGAAGGGGCATGTAAAATTCTTCTGTTCCATGTAAATGTACCGCAATGCTTATCCAAAAATTGAGTAAAGTTCTGACTGTAAAATCGAGGAGCCTGACCATAAGAATCCAAAAATTCCCCTTTGCCATCTTCTGTAAAGTAGATTGCCACCCAATTCGATCCAGGTTTATCGGAAGGATCCGTGTTAGATATATACCCTCTAGGTTTGTTTCTTATTTCGCGAGGTAAACGATCTGATGGTAGGTTTCTTTCGCTATTCAGCCATATGTTCAGGGACAAGTACTAATCGCTTGACGTGTTCCATTATAAAAAGTTAGCCAACTGTTCCAAAACTGAAGTGAGTAGAAACGGTAGGAAACCCTCCCGTTTTTGGACTAGACGTGTTCTTTTTACGATAGGATTTCGTTTGTCAGCCGCAAACTTTATATGCTTGGAATGCGATGCAAGTTGTTTAGCTGTTTTCGGTTTCAGTTTAATCGTGTCAAACCAAACGTTTAATAGACACTGTCTTATAGCTTCAACAGATCGTCTTCAGCCGCTTTCAAAATAGCTTTTCTCAGTTCAGGTTTACACTTGGCCAATACTTTCAGAAGTTCGGAGTTCCTCTTCATACAAGCAGACATGATCAAATGAACATTTTACACACGTTCCCACTTTCTTATACTCTGGGTTGATAGACATAATGCGTATCGGTTGGAAAGATCCCGGATCGAATCCGTATCTCGTCAGGACACGTAGGAGTTAGGTCGACAAATAGATACGAATTGGGATCTTTGGTTGCCAGTTGATAGGCTTGATGAAAAAATTTGGTGTTACTGGGATACAGTTGTTTAGCGAGATGAATATAATTTGACTTGCGTCTCGCACGTTTTTCGTTGAACATAAATAACTTGCATTGAGAGAAAGTGTAAGGTGTTCTTTGCCATGATGAAATAAATTTTGTACAATGTAGATCACACTCATGTTACCATGATGTTATTTTTTCGTGAATAATTTTGAAATAACTCCGTCCTTCTCACCCATGACATCATCAATGACATATAAATTGCGTGTTTCGGAATTAATACTATCCAGTATATCATCAGGTAAACCTGGTACAAATTTTATTCCAGGCACTAAATTTTGAATTTCTCCAAACGTTCTTGGTACTCGGCATAAAAATACACAATGTTTTCTGGAGGATTATCTATCATGACATTAATGACTCAAAAGTTTTTTCACAAATGTAGTTTTGCCTGACTTTGTGCTCCCAGACACGAGAAGGCCAAACGGATGTGTTAACTGTATGGAGTACATGTTGAAAATGAAATCATATATTTTGATCGTCACTATTTATATCATGCTCCCAATGAGTCTATACAATTCAGTTAAAACTACTTTCAAATAGAGAAAGGTTGTCTTTGTGTGGCGGAAAGTTCATGAACACCTGCTAAATGGTTAGATAATTTCAACAAATCGTTCTTACCACAAATCGGACAGTCTTTACGCTTTCGAGGCATGATGTAGAATAAAGACCTTACCTGACTCCCGTCTCTTATATAAATGTCCCGCACGAGACTTTTTTGTCCCGGAAGTCCCGAAAACGCTCAAAGTGTCCCTGGGGGACTGTTTGTCCCGTGCGGGACTTATTTTGTCCCTGAAACTCTGCATGGGAGAGGGGGATGGCCGAGAGAAATACACAACATGTTTTGAAAAAGATATATCGACTATTTACAAACTAAATATCTAAAGGAATCGTCGACGCACCGTCCTCCAAAACTTTACGTTTTGGATAAAAATAACTAAAAGCGTTTTTAACTTGAACATATGAACACATAGTATTATTTAAAACCCTAAAACCCCTATTTACACCCGACCCACTACGTTTACTTAAAAGCACATCTAAATATTTATCTTTATTAATTACATTATTTTTCTTATTTACACCCTTGCAGCTATATTTATCTTTCCCCCCCCCCCCCCCCCAAAAAAAAACAAAACAATAATACGTCTTACTACATAGACTAACTATACCCGATCCCTCCCATTCAACTTTAAATAAACCTGGTGTTCCCTTGTCATAATTAGCATACCCGACCGTGTCCGTACGTGGAAACCAATCACATTTGTCTGACTCGTACTCGTCTTGCATTTCAGGCTTAATTATATCATCAATACTTTCTGCACTGATCGCAAGGTATGCGCTGTCTGTGTCCATCTCACAAAACTCAAAATCACTTTTATCAATATACTTATACTAGACAGTCATAATAGAATTGCAGCATACGTAGCTTTGCGTACTGGTATACGAAGAACCCCACCTGTAAAATAATAATAATTTATTAATTTATAATTCCAATGACGAAACGATCATGGTACTATAATATATACCTGCAGAGGTAAATCCAACTTGATTTTCTTCTTACTGCTCTGTACTTCGTAAGTTTCATCATCAATCGTGTTGAGTTCGCGGAAGAATGGCGAGTTGATCAAGCTGGGTACTTTCTCATCATCGCAATACTTGACTTGGCGATGTCGCTCTTTGTTTGTGAAGGTTTTCCCATTTTAGGACTATACTCTATTACTTGGTATATATGTGTTACCTAAAAAAATAATATAATCTGTTGGAAATTGTGCTGAAATTTTACAAGCTCACAATATTTAAAACTTACCTCTAAACCATGCTCTAAATACCATCTTAATAGCGGGGTCGCCAAAAGGATTTTTTCTCCAATCATACTCCCGATGAGACTATGTCGAGGTTGTTTCATGACATCGTTTTCTTCCGCGTATGTTTTCATGTAGTCGCCGATGTCTTCACCAGATATCTCCACGTTCTTGAAGATGGGACACATCTCTTGAAAGTGATCTCGCAAATGTTCTGGAACACGGATATCACACTCGACGCATCCTAATAACGTTTCGCCCTTTACAGCGTTGATGATGGATTGCGTAGTCATGGTTTGAACTTTGTCCAGGGGTCTATGCAATCGAGTTGCGATGAAGCGTTGAAGGTCTTTGTTGGTCTTTTTCATTTCACGCCATTTGCACTCCTAACACTCAACGAGATGGAATCCCTGCTTCTTGATATAGGCGCTGTTCTTTCGAGTCTCTTCGAGTAGTTCTGCCATGTGTTTGTCGCGTTTGGTATTCACCTCTTTCCCCTCATTCAGGTGGCAATCATGGCCGTGCCAATAACAACCTAGTAGAATAAAGTGCAATATTAATGATCCTACAAAAGAAAAATAAATTATCCTGCAAGAGAAAAGCCCACGCAATCGCTAAAAAACTGATTAACTTACTCCCACTTAATTACGTTAATCCTAATTACTTTAAAACAACAACTTACCGTGAAACTGAAACACCGTTTGCGATTCAGCGTGGAAATCATCAACTGGAAGGCGACGAGAACCAATACGCTTCTCCGTGTTGTTGTACTCGTGTCGGATTTGAATATCTCGCTGGCGGGCTTCCCACTCCAACCACTCTATCGCCATCTTACCACTTCACTGTTTCTTACACCCATCGCTCTCCAGTCGTCGTGTGTACTGCCCCGTTGGCATGGGTTGCATTATGGCCCATAGATACAGAGCATTCGCGTCGTAGCCAACGATTTTCTTGCACGGTTTCGGTTCCTGCCCTTTCTTTCGCATCTCGACATTACGGATGTTTGTCTTATCTTTCTCACCTGTTAAAGATTATACTAGGACCACCGACATTGTTATCTTTCATTGAATAATATAAATCTTTATTATCCTTCTCCGAGAAGAGTGAGAAGTAAGAGCCCGCTACGTTAGAAAATAAATACTTCATGGTCAAACCAGGCACACTCACACCGTCCTTAAACATATCGATACTTCTCTCCTTCCAAAACTCGCTCATTTTTTCAATCGCTTCGAGAAAGGGTACAACATCGAGATTGTTATACCACACAAGGAAATCGCGAAACGATGTCATATTGTTTGCGTCCCATACATTCCGGTAATACTCGTATTGTTCAATTGTAATATCTGTGTTTGATAGCGTTGAATGGAACGCTTCGGGAGGTGGTAAAGTAGGCGAGTTCAATTTCTCGACGGAGTCGACCCACTCGTACGGGAAATAACCTTTGGTCTGGGAGCACTCGTACGCTTTGAGTAATTGTTCGTAGGAGAATCCAGGAGCTAAGTAGTTTGTGCTATCGAGAAACTTTAAATGTGGGGTCTTAAGACACATATGATTATTGTTTCTCTTTATCACAAATTTAACTTGCTCGTGTTTCACCAGGTAAGATATGAACGACACTTTAGAAGCATAAATATCATACTTGCCAGAGTTGAAGCCAAGGACGGGTCGTTCTTGCAAGTATTCTGACAACTTGTCCTGCAACTTTTCCAGCGGATGAACCTTTTCATCTTCATTTACCTAAAATATAAAGTTATAAGTAAACTATGATTTTAAAAGGTGAGACATCAGTCAAAATTACCTCATTCGATTCGTCCTCGTTTGCCAAGCTATCATCCTCTTCATCTTCGCTCATCTGAAAAAAAGAAAGAGTTAGTACAAATAGTACAAGATCTTGAGGGTAAATATATACGCCTTACCTCATTCAGTCCGAGTATACATTCCACCATTTCTTCCATCTCATCTTCACTTGATCGAGGCACTTCGCTCACCACCTAAAACATAGGAAAAATAATAAGTACAAATATTATTTTAAAATCGGTCTAGTAGGTTAAACATACCTCACTATTCGCTACTCCCTCGTTGATTTGATCAAATACATTGGAGAACGATCCAACAACAAGACGTAGCTCTCTTGAATCATATCATTGGTATTACCAGAGGAAACGAAAGATTTGGGTTGATCATAACCAGGGACGTTTGAACACACAGAGAGACTCAACGGGATATGGTCGGCTTCCCACGTTAACTTTGCTGTATTTCTTAGATGTTCGGTTTCACGTTTGAAGTAGCATTCAAAGTCAAAGGTGGCAAGGTAAGGGAAGTACTTGAGGTCTTCAGGAATGTCAATGCCTTCGTCGACCAACAAATCGAAGATTGTTTGTGCAACTTTATAAGCACCACCAGGGAAGATGTGACGTATAGTTGCTTCGCAGGTCCGCTCGTGCTGGTTTAAGGCTTTGGCCGTTTTCCACATTTTGTCGCACTTGGAACAACAGTAGGACTTGGAGTACATAGCCAAATTCTTAATATAACTGAAGTGGCTGCCGTGGAGGTTCAGGTACATGGAATTGGCAGTTCAAAACATCCTTGAAATAATATAAGTAGATATTATTAGCTTAAAATACTTTACTATGTTTTGAAATATATCCCTGTAAATTACGTACCTTCCGATTAAACGTTTTGTGGCAACGCAAACGCTCGTGGTCTTTGTCACTGTGAGTTTTCATATGCCAGTTCAAAACATCCTTGAAATAACATAAGTAGATATTATTAGCTCAAAATACTTTACTACGTTTCGAAATATATCCCTGTAAATTACATACCTTCCGATTAAATGTTTTATGGCAACGCGAACACTCGTGGTCTTTGTCACTGTGAGTTTTCATATGCCGGTTCAAAACATCCTTGAAATCATATAAATAGATATTATTAAGTCAAAATACTTTACTACGTTTTGAAATATATCCCTGTAAATTACGTACCTTCCGATTAAACGTTTTGTGGCAACGCGAACACTCGTGGTCTTTGTCACTGTGTATCTTCATATGCCGGTTGAGGTTGTCCGAAGCGTAAATACGCGACCATAATCATTACAACACAACCCCGACTTCTCCGATTCTTCTTGCCAATCGTTCCATTCCGCAAGAATCTCCTCTTGAGTTTCAGGGGACCAAGAGTCAAACATTTCATCTGTGGCAACGGCACAAAGCTGGTGATTAACCTCCGCATTCTCGAGATCGGCCATGAATTGATCTCTCCTGAAAATACACACAAAAAAAAAATACTTGTATGATTGCCTTAAATACTTAGCTGTAAATAACCAAAGTCAACTTACCACATGTTTTCCCGATGTTGCTGTGCCATTCTCTTCCAAGTAATTATTCTTCACGAACCAAAGCGAAATTTAACCAAACTTCAACTAAGCGTTGTCAAATGCAGAACTGTGCTTATTACAAGACGCTTGTCGATTTATACAGACGCTCATTAAATCAAACAACCAATCATAGTAAGCCAATCTTAATCCCTCTATTGTATCACACACGTGGAGCGACGCTAAAAAATGCTTAGTCAGCAAGTTTTGTCCAATTTCGCTCAAACTTGTCCGCGCGAAGTCATTGCATATAATTATGACGTATTGTATACTAATGAGTGACGTCACTACGCACGCTCATTTGGATGAATATTAATTATAAATGCGGTGGTGGACACCACCACCTCAAACTCCACCACCTCCACCACACACCACCACCACCACCACCACACTCCACCACCACCACACTCCACCACCACCACCACCACACTCCACCACACACCACCACCACACACCACCACCACAAAAAAGGGGGTCGAAGGCCTCTATATTACTACTGCTCTCGCTGTTCTGGTCGTCTATATGGGAACAGTCACGGTGGTTGTCGGTGGCTATTGCCCGTTTCAGGGTGTGTTGGGAACAACTAAGCTTCACATGATCGAACCGACAACAATGAAAACATTTGAAGCAGTCTCTCTGCGTATGACCATTTTGCCCACACTTAAAGCACTTCACATCGTAGACATACGTTGCAACGCGATGCCCATATCGGCCACATCTCCCGCACTGAGGCAATCGACCTCGATAACGGGTTTCAACTGGATAGGGGCCAATAAAAAAGCGACGTGGTATACCCTCCTTAAGATCAGACATCATTGCGAGTCGAACCCCAGATTCAACGTTCGGCTAATCACGAAACATTTCCAACATTGCGAAGCCATCGGCCACCAATTGGTTTGGAATTTTGTCTGGAGCGAACAAGACTTTAACCATGAGGGAACGTGTATTCAATTCTTGGGCTATAGCTCGTTCCACACGCACCGAGAATTCTTGATTCAAAAACAGCTATTTAAAGTCCGCTGAACGAAAAGTGACACAATAACGAGGACCTGCAAATTGCTGTAGAGTTTTAATCGCGTTCTGTTTCACACACTTCAAGACACTATCCATGATTTCACGAACCGAGATGTCTTTAAATGCCTGAGTGTGTAACACAACAGTATTTGGCCGAGCTACACGTACTCCAAATTGTACATTCGGCAAAGGCACACGATTAGCCGGTCTGTTTGGCTCTTGCGATTTGACGCGTTCCCCCAACCTCACCAACGATATCCACCCATGACATAGCCTGTCCAGTTTCTGTTTTCCGTTCCACACAATCAATACGCCGTTCGTCACGACTAGCAGGACTTGCGGCACCATCAGTCTGCATTTCATCGTCACCAGCCCCTCTGTCATTACCACTAACGCGCCGTGCATCGCCAGCAGCAGCACGACGTCCATCACCTCCACCACGACCAGTACGCCAGCACGGCGTCCAGCATCTCCACCACGGCTTGCACCACCAGCAACACGACGTGAATCATCACCACCACGACTTGCATCATCACCACCACGACTGCATCATCAGCAATACGACTTGCACTACCATTACGATTTGCACCACCAGTACCACGACTGTCACCACCACCTCCACAACTACCATCACTACTCACGACTTGCACCACCAGTACTTGCAGGACCACTACAACGGATTGTATCACCATCACTACGGGCTCCACCAGGAGCAGCAAGAGTACCACTAGCAGCGCCGCCAGGATTCCCACGAACAGTGCTTCCATCTTCGTCACCACCACATCTACAAGGTTCCTTCTCCATTCGTCTTCTTGTCTCCAGTTATGAAATACTTCTCCACAAAAATCGCTTTAGTAAAACGCGAAAGATTTGTCCGTTTATGAAATTCTGAAGGAGAAGTAGAGTTTTGCTAATTAATTGCTAGCTCGATGTTTGGTATTTATAGCTGAAAATAATTGCGGAAGCATGTGGTATGTTACTTAGTTAGGAAAATTGAAGCTAATTTAACCTTAGTATTTTTTTTCTGAGTTGGTGTTATGTACGCATGTGAATATGATGTTTGGGATGTTGTAGTTAGGATCGGGAATTCTAATTGATAATTGCGCGCGCATACATACAGTTCTTGGTTTGATGACGCTTTTTTGCTTGTGTTAATTAAATTAATTAATCGGCTCAGCTCGTGAGCCAAGCCAGGAAAAAATGTCTATAGAGATCGGAAGAGCTCGGGTCCACGGAAATCTTTAGTAAAAGGATTTTTAATAAAAAGCCCACATAACGAAAATCGCTATGTGGAATCAAATATTTACACAATTAAGAACACACAACGAAACACACATATTGTCACCTTAAATCACACTTATTGTTCTATATCAAAATCTGTATATATTGTCGTCCCATACATAAGCCAAGATATTATTAAAACACCATTTTGACACAAATGTGTCCACACTTATGATGCATTGTTCCATTTGAAGACTTCGTCTCACGTAATTCTTGAAATATGTCAACACAATTAATTCTCTGATCCTTCTTGAATTGCACCGAAACACGTTCTTTCCAAGCGGAAAATTTCCAAGAGAAATCCGGTTTCAAAGGCTACTGGAGTCTTGGTACGACTAGTACTTGTGGAGTGGGCATTTTGTTGCGTGCTAGCTCTCGGTTCAAACACTGTACTTTCTGCTGTGATGGTGAAGGTCGTATTACTACCTTGGATTGTTTTTTCAATAATCAGGAATTTCGCTTTATTAGTATTTATGTGCCCACTGATGGGAGTCAGCGAATTGAATACTTTCAGAACTTAGATCGACATCTCATTACTCCGCGGCGTTTGATAATCGGAAGGGACTTTAATTGTATGCTTGATCTGGCGAAAGACAAGCGGGGCGGGAACGAGTCGTTGGGTGGTACCGGGGCTCCTCATTTAAAGAATTTAATTGCGAGATTTAGTTTAGTGGACATCTGGAGAAAACAACACCAGACTGATCAGCAGTTCACGTGGCAAAACAAGCTCGGAACGATTAAATGTCGCTTGGACAAATTTTATATTTCATCTTCGCTTGCAAAAGACTATGACATCGAAAGTACTATCGAACCTTATCCATATTCGGACCATGATATAGCACTTATTACGTTGAAAATGGAGCGCTCAAGTAGTAACGTTGGCCCTGGAGTTTGGAAACTCAATACTTCCCTTTTGAATGATAAGACTGTTCGTAATAAAGTAGTGACATTCTGGACGGATTGGAAGAAAAAGAAACAATACTTTAGTAATGTTCGCGAATGGTGGGATACCGGCAAATCAAGAATCAAATCTCTTCTCATCAAATGTAGTAAAACAAAATTGATTAAATCGAAGCAGGAGCGAGCTCGAGTATTAAAGAGATACCGTACTTTGGTCGCAAAAGACAACTTATCGGCAAGCGAGGTTGAGGAACTCGACGCAGTTTGGCAACTATTGATTTTCAGCCAGTTCAGGGCAATAAAATGAGATGTAAAGCGAAGTGGCACGAAGCATATGAACAGCCTTCCAGGTTCTTCTTTCAAATAGAGAAAAGGTGAGATGTCAAGAAAACTTGTCAGGCTTTGCATACGGCTGATGGGCGCAGGGTTACTGACCAGAAGGTATCATGAGCGAGCAGGTTAACTTTTATAACACTTTGTATTCTAAGGTACCTACGAACAGTGCTGGACAAGATCGCTTACTCAACTTATTAGAGCGAAAACTGACGGACGAACAACGGGACTCGTGCGAGGATTTGTTTACTGCGAGTGAATGTTCAGCGGCCTTAAAGTCAATGTCATGTGGTAAAACGCCCGGTTCAGACGGACTACCAAAGGAGTTTTAGATCACGCTTTGGGATATGTTGCGGGAAGAGTTTGTCGAGATGGCGAACAATTGCACTGCAGACAGCATAATGCCTGAGTATTTGCGTCAAGCTTTGATATCGCTCCTGTAGAAGGATGATCCTGACTTATTAAAAAAAATGGCGTCCAATTTCGCTGCTAAATGTGGATTATAAAATTAATACGAAAGTTCTTGTCAATCGCATGAAACCTTTGATATCCACAGTGATCGACCCTGACCAGTGTTGTGCCGTACCTGGCCGTTCCAGCGAAGATAATGTAACCCTCCTTCGTGACATTTGTGATTATCTAGAAATTCATTCTCAGACTGCGTGTGCGTTTATATCTATTGACCAAGAAAAAGCCTTCGACTATGTCGGTTGGAAGTTTCTTCATAGGATACTTGAGACTATGAACTTTGGCCCACAGTTTTGCTCTGTGATCACTTTCATTTATACAGACATTCAGAGTGTTTTTTAACGTCCAACGTGGTGTTCGTCAGGGCTTCCCTCTGTCTCCACTTCTATTTGTGCTCGTCGCAGAGGTGTTTGGTCAAGCCATTCGTAAATGCCCGGAAATTCAAGGTTTGCGTCTTCCTCGTGGCAAAGAAGTAAAAATCTCTCAGTATGCTGATGATAATATTTGCATCGTTACTAACACTTATGGCATTTTTAAGATTATTGATCTCTTTGACGAATACGGTCGAGTGTCTGGGGCGCGACTCAACAGGGACTCGCTACTGTTTCTGATCTTTATTAATGATTTACCAAATTGTTTATCTAATTCTCATCGGAAGCGGCGCGACAACGTGGCGCGATTTCACGAAATTCGCAGGAAAATGCGCGTACAGACCAGACGCGTTTTTTTTTACGGCAAACAGAAATTGGGAGAAACAAACATGGCGGATGCTGAGGAGAACGAAGACGAATTGTTGTTACTTTTACTGCTCCACCGGCGTTTGCGAGGCAACAACTTGGGGAATTTCATCGTCTCGTACAGGAACTTCGGCTAGATGAACAGCGGTTTTTCCAGTACTTCAGAATGACACCCGAAACATTTGAAAACTTGTTGCATATCGTTGGTCCTCATATTCGTAAACACACCACAAACTACAGAAACCCTATAAGTCTACAACAGAGACTGGCTATCTGCTTTAGGTAAAAACAACTCATTTAATAGGTTATTATTTTTGTTGTATGATGCCAAGAATGGCAATAAATGTCCCACTCTGGCCTCTCGGAGACTATAAATGATTTACTGACAGAGAAGAAACTGTAGTATAAGGTTTGGTTGTCAACATTGCAAAAAAAATTAAGACTGTGTGGCATTTGCAGGGTTTTGTTTCTTGGGCCTTCCAGGGGTAGAGGCATTTGTATGCTGTTCATATAAACTAAACTATATATGAAAGTAACATTTAATAACAGCTTTCATTCTGAATGAAGGTGTTTTATACTTGTTTAATAATTTATTTGGCCAATTTCATATCATTGAATAACAGTTTGATATAAATCGGCCTGGCTCAGAAATTAAAGATGGAATTCTTTTCCATTTTCTTCATTAATTCTTAAATATTTTTCCAGATTTTTGGCGACAGGTGATTCATATAAAACCTTTGGATTTAGTTATCGTGTGGGTGCATCCACTGTTGGCAGTATTGTATCAGAAACGTGTCAAGAAATTTGGACATGCCTGGTAAATCAGTGCATGAAGGTCTCCACTGAGAATGAATGGCAAGCTTTGGCTGAAAGTTTCAAGAATAAATGGAATTTTCCAAACTGTGTAGGGGCTATAGATGGCAAGCACATTACATTTCAAGTTCCACCCAATTCAGGTTCCCTATACTTCAATTGACCATTTGCGTAATAGACTAAATTTTGATCTCAACAAAAATTTTATTACAGCTGGAAAGAGCATCACAAAATTAGTAATATTCCAAAGTTTCGTTGCAAAATGTTGTAAAATGCGGAAAATATAGCCTTGCGAAATTTGCAATTTTCAGTCATTTTAGATTACAAACCGGAAATTGACAGCCTCGAAGGGTTTGGGGCTGTCAATTTCTCGTTTGTAATCTAAAATGACTGAAAATTGCAAATTTCGCAAGGCTATATTTTCCGCATTTTACAACATTTCGCAACGAAACTTTGGAATATTACTAATTTTGTGATGCTCCTTCAAGCTGTGATGAAATTTTTGTCTAGACTTGTTTAGTTCAAAATTTAGTCTATTACGCAAATGGTCAATTACAAAGGGACATTTTCTATGGTTTTAATGGCTTTAGTTGATGCCGATTACTGTTTTACAGTCATTGATATTGGAAGTTATGGATCTAATAGTGATGGAGGGATTTTTTCAAATTCACTACTGGGTCAAAGGCTGGCAGAGAACCAACTTAATCTGCCTGTTCCTATTGATCTGCCTAGGGCTTCCTTATTAGGTAAGGTAAACGCAATATGGTTTTTCTGCATCTCACTCGATTGAACTTATTCGCAGGGCCACAGGTTCAACTCCTGTCAAGGGTCCTAGTGTTGCATGCTGTCCCCTGTTAGGTCTAAAATTGTTATATTATTCCACTCTAATTATCTATCTAGTTAAACCATTAACTTTATTCTTCTTATTAGGTCCTATGCCATATGCAATTGTTGGAGATGAGGCATTTCCTCTTAAAACCTATCTTTTTCGTCCCTATCCTGGTCGAGATCTTTCAATTGATAAGCGTATATTTAATTACCGGCTTTCCAGAGCCCGCCGAATCTCAGAGAATGCATTCGGATTATTGGCTCAGCGATGGCGTATCTTTCAGAGGCGTATTAATTTACACCCAGAGCAATGTGAAAAGGTTGTCCAGGCATGTTGTGTTCTCCACAACTACTTGCAGAAATCTACTGGTAATAGCACACCAATTAATGTTCAAGATGAAAGAGATAGCCTTCAAGAATACCAAGCCATGCAAAATCTTACAAACATGGGATGTAGAGCATCAGCTGATGCATATTCTGTTAGGGATAAGTTTAAAGTCTATTTTTGCATGGGTGATGGAGAAGTTCAATGGCAATACACTACAGTCCAGAGAGGATTCAACCGTAGTACCTGATGACAGTGGCCTATAACAGTGTATAACAATAATAACATTAAACTGTAGATTAAGCATATAATTATATTATTACATTAAACTGTAAATTAAGTATATCATATTATTATTATATTATATAATTAAACTGTTTTGATCAGTGGTAATGGAACATATTTTATTTTCGAAGGGCTAAATTTACAAAAACGTTTATAGTAACTTTTGACAATAAAGTGATAACATGAGAAACTACAGAACATGATCTTGGGAAGGAGATCTAAAACTATATTTGACATTCTTTAGTTATCAGTATCAAATTCAATATCATACAGCACCTTCTGTATGCGAAGTTTGGCTAGTTCCTTCTGTTGGTCTGTCATGCGTTTTAAGGTACGGACAATGCTCAAGGCAAAGACTTCCTCTTCAGATTTTCCAGTTTCAGGCTTCTTATTTTTTTGCATCCAAATATTTTATAATTTGTTCTGAAACTTCATCCCGTGGCTTTCGTCTCTTGCCAGCTGATTTAGGGTTGACACCCATAGGAGTTGTTGGTCGTGAGGTAGATGTTTTGGGTGCATTTTCCTCTACCTCTAAAGGGAATCAAGCAGTATACATTTCATCTTCGTCTGTACAAAGAATGGCAGTATCATCTGCAGTCAAATCTTTGTCTTCTGTGATTACTTCAATCATGTTTGAAGAAGTACTACAAATTAAGTTAATAAAATATTATGTCGGCTGGTACTGAATATTAAAAATAACTTGGCAAATGGGGACCTTACTTGGTGGTAGAAAAGAACAAATTCTACAATCAAATAATTTTACCTTGTTGTATATTCGACGTATGGCTCCAAAAAAGGCAAAATATTTTTGTATTTCCATTCTTTTTTTTACTTGCTCCTTCCCCACTTCTTCCTTTATCAAGTGCAGAATTCCTCAAGGAACGATCCTAGGACCGCTCCTGTTTCTGGTCTTTATTAATGATTTACCAAATTGTTTATCTAATTCTCATCCCAGAATGTATGCAGATGACACTAATCTTACATATTCTGGTAGCGATATAAACACTATTCAATTTCATCTTAACGAAGACTTGGAAAACATTAATGAATGGTTAATATCAAATAAACTTACTTTAAATATGACTAAAACTGAATACATGTTAATTGGGTCGAGACAACGTTCTCAAATTCTTTATAATTTTGAACCAACTCTATAACTTTGAACCGCTCATCTATTGTTGGAGTCGCCATATTTTCTTGGGTTGCGCGAATTATCTTGCAGCGCGAAAAAGATCGCCCTGCGAGCGAACTTTTTTATATCGCTAAGCGAAAATCCGCCTCTTCGCGTCAGGTCTGAACGCTTCTTACCAAATACACTATATTGATTTTAAGTTTGCCGCGCCGCGATACAAAACCCGCCGCGCCGCGATGTAAAAATCACCGCGCTGCGTCCGGTGTGTGTGGGCCTTAAGTCAAAAGGTATTTCGCTGGGCAGGTGGCGCTGTCGCACAGATTCTCCATGCGGGTTAGAGTGGGTTAATTCACGCCTTTCAAGATTGTCGGTGTTTATTTCGGTGAAGAAGGTGCGTGTTTGAATTCGTGGGAGGAAGTCTCCGCAAAGTTCATCGCGGTTATAATGAAATGGGAATCGCGGTTTTTAACTTTACGAGGGAAAGTAACGATGCTTCATAGTTTGGCAGTCTCAACGATCTGGCATGTAGCGAAGATCTACCCTCCTCCTCGTGAAATGGTGGATTCCATCCAGTCCCAAATATGGAAGTTCGTATGGTCCAAAAAACCGGAATTGGTACGTCGCGAAACATGTATGTCTAATTATGATCATGGTGGCCTTCGAGTCAACCATCTAGACATTAAAAGCGAGGCGTTATTAATTGGGCGGATTTTCCGATTTCTTGATGTGAATCACGAAGCGTGTCCTTGGCAAGCTTTAATGCGTTACTACGAGGCACGGCCTTTGGGTATCAATGACAACACGAAGCCAAATTGTGATATTCCGTGTCCATTTACAGTCATCTCCTTCGTGTGTTGAAAGAATTCTCGGTCGACCTGAGCCAACCTCAGTAAAGCAAATTTTACTATGCTCGTCGTCTGCAAAATTGTGTTTCCCCAGTTCAAACGCGAAGCGAAGTGCATTGGAATCGGCGGTTTGGTCCGAGAGTGATTTGGAAAGATATCTGGAAAGAAATTGCTCACAGTATGAATGATCCAGTTTTGCGGGATTTTGATTGGCGGACGGTTCATCGTATCTTACCGGTAAATTCTCGAATGCATCAGTGGAATTCGCGGTTACCTTCACGATGTGCTCGGTGTGGGGCCTTAGAACATTTGTTGGTTGATTGTCCAAAGATTAAAGATATGTCGTTGTTCATATTAAATTTGTGTGATCGAATTGATCCATCCGTGATTGGTTTGTCAGAGAAGAACTTATTTTTGGGCTGCTTTTCACAACGGGCGACGAAGGATTTATTGCCTTACATAATGTGTGTTGGGAAATTTTCCGCTTGGAAAGAACGAGTTTCGGTGCAATTCAAGAAGGATCAGAAAATTAACTGTGCGACATATTTCAACTACGTTCGACGAAGACTTCGAATGGAACAATGCTTCATAAGTGTGGAGACATTTATGTCAAAATGGTGTATTAACAATGTCTTGGCTTGTGTAAGGGACGATAATATTCAGGTTTTGATATAGATCAATAAATGTGTTTTAAGGTGACAATATGTGTGTTTCGTTGTGTGTTCACAATTGTGTAAATATTTTATTCCCCATAGCGATTTTCGTTATGTGGGCTTTTTATTAAAAATCATTTTACCAAAGATTTCCATGGAGAAGTATTTCATAACTGGAGACAAGAAGACGAATGGAGAAGGAACCTTCTAGATGTGGTGGTGACGAAGATGGAAGCACTGGTCGTGGGAATCCTGGTGGCGCTGCTGGTGGTGCTCTTGCTGCTTCTGGTGGTGCTGGTGGTGATGCAACCCGTGGTAGTGGTCCTACCAGTGCTGGTGGTGCAAGTCGTGGTAGTGATGCTAGTCGTGGAGGAGGTGGTCATAGTCGTGGTACTGGTGGTACAAATCCAAATCATAATGACTTGCGTCTTGTTGCTGATGATGCACATCGTGGTGGTGATGATGCAAGTCGTGCTGCAGCTGGCGATGCCCGGCGCGCTAGTGGTAATGACAGAGGGGCTGGTGATGATGAAATGCGGACTGCTGGTGCTGGAAGGCCCGCTAGTCGTGATGAACGGCGTGTTCATGGTGTGGAACGGCAAGCCGAAACTGTACAGGCTAGTTCATGGGCGGATATCGTTGGTGAGGTTGGGGAACACGTCGACTCGCAAAGAGCCAAACAGACCGGCTAATCGTGTGCTCTTGCCGAATGTACAATTGTCAGGACGTGTAGCTCGGCCAAACACTGTTGTGTTACACACTCAGGCATTTAAGGACATCTCGGTTCGTGAAGTCATGGGTAGTGTCTTGAAGTGTGTGAAACAGGACACAATTAAATGTCTCCAGCAAGTTCTGGGTTCCCGTTATCGTGTCACGTTTCGTTCGTTGGAATTGAAACAGCTGTTTTTGAATCAAGAATTCTCGGTGCGTGGGGAACGCGTTATTGCACAAGAAGTGGATACACCTTCCCTCATGGTTAAAGTCTTGTTCGTTCCAACTGAAATTCCAAACCAATTGGTGGCCGAAAGTCGACCGTGAAATGTTTAGTGATTGGTCCAACGTTGAATCTGGGGTTCGCGTCGTAATGATGTCTAATCTTAAGGAGGGTATACCACGTCGCTTTTTTATTGGCCCCTATCCAGTTGAAACCCGTTATCGAGATCAGGTGCCGCAGTGCGGTCGGTGTGGCTGATATGAGCGTCGCGTGGCAACGTGTGTCAACGATGTGAAGTGCTTTAAATGTGGGCAAGATGGTCATGTGCAGCGAAAATGCTTCCAATGTTTTCATTGTGGTCGGTTTGGTCATGTGAGGCTTAATTGTCCCGACCACCCCCTGAACCAAGAGATAGCCACCTACAACCACCGTGATGCGTCCCATGAAGACGACCAGAACAGCGTGATCGAAGTGCAAAATCCTCAACGTCGGCAATGTCAGAAGAATTACGACAGTGGCGACGCATCCATGAGCAGTAGCAACAACTCTGATAATGATCCAATGGACAAGGATCCCAATTTGAGCAGTGGTGATGATTCCATGCCTGAGGTAAACCCTCCGGGAGTGAAGAGCACGCAATCGGAACACAACAAGCGCAAGGCTGAAGATGATCCTGTCGTGGCTGATGGCCAACCTGATCAACCAAATGGTGATTCCAAGCTTAAAAAGATGCGGCGGCGAAGAAAAAAACGATGACAGAATTATCCATTATCACGCTCAATGTCATGGCATTAGGGACTATAGAAAACGTAGTATACTTTTTGATTTTTTAAAACGGGGAAAATATGTTGTAATTTTTCTCCAAGAAATACACATGAATGCGTTCTTTGGAACAGAGAATCCAGTTTCAAAGGCTACTGGAGTCTTGGTACGATTAGTAGTTGTGGAGTTGGCATTTTGTTGCGTGATAGCTCTCGGTTCAAACACTGTACTTTCTGCTGTGATGGTGAAGGTCGTATTACTACCTTGGATTGTTCTTTCAATAATCAGGATTTTCGCTTTATTAGTATTTACGTGCCCACTGATGGGAGTCAGCGAATTGAATACTTTCAGAACTTAGATCGACATCTCGTTACTCGGCAGCGTTTGATAATTGGAGGGGACTTTAATTGTATGCTTGATCTGGCGAAAGACAAGCGGGACGGGAACGAGTCGGTGGGTGGTACCGGTACTCCTCATTTAAAGAATTTAATTGCGAGATTTAGTTTAGTGGACATCTGGAGAAAACAACACCAGACTGATCAGCAGGTCACGAGGCAAAATAAGCTCGGAACGATTAAATGTCGCTTGGACAAATTTTATATTTCATCTTCGCTTGCAAAAGACTATGACATCGAAAGTACTATCGAACCTTATCCATATTCGGACCATGATATGGCACTTATTACGTTGAAAGTGGAGCGCTCAAGTAGTAACGTTGGTCCTGGAGTTTGGAAATTCAATACTTCCCTTTTGAATGATAAGACTGTTCGTAATAAAGTAGTGACATTCTGGACGGATTGGAAGAAAAAGAAACAATACTTTAGTAATGTTCGCGAATGGTGGGATACCGGCAAATCAAGAATCAAATCTCTTCTCATCAAATGTAGTAAAACAAAATTGATTAAATCGAAACAGGAGCGAGCTCGAGTATTAAAGAGATACCGTACTTTGGTCGCAAAAGACAACTTATCGGCAAGCGAGGTTGAGGAACTCGACGCAGTCAAATCTCAATTGGCAACTATTGATTTTCAGCGAGTTCAGGGCAATAAAATCAGATGTAAAGCGAAGTGGATCGAAGCAAATGAACAGCCTTCCAGGTTCTTCTTTCAAAGAAGGCATTAGTGGTAATTAATTCCTCTGGTTTGAATCATACCTAACGAATAGGGAACAACAATGCGTAGCTAATGCTATCCTCCGTTGGAAAATTAAAATGTGGGGTCCCCCAGGGGTCGATCCTGGGGCCGTTGTTATTTTTGCTCTACATCAATGACCTACCACAATTTCTCCAAAAAACCACGCCCGGTCTATATGCAGATGACACGGAAATTTACGCGTCATCACACAATGTACATGATCTTATTGACAACATAAATTATGACGTAAATATTGTTACGCAATGGATGGAGAATAATATGCTACAAATTCATCCTAAGAAATCTAAATGTATGTTTATTGCATCCCCTTATAAAATTAAGAATATACCTCAAGGAATACCGATATTAATTAACGTTCCTGTCCCAAGAGTTACAAGTTACAAGAAAGAAAAATCCCAGTACATTTCCATACAACCTGGCTGGTAATGATCTTATTCGTTGTGATGAAGTAAGAGATTTGGGGATAACAATAACTTATAATCTTAAGTGGGATTCTCATGTCACACGAATTCGATCTACTGCAAATAAATGTCTGGGTCTCCTGAAACGGACTTGTTATTATTTACCTGATACGCGAGCTAGGAGAGCTTTGTATCTATCCCTAGTTAAATCGCAACTAAGTTACGGTTCTCAAGTATGGTCCCCTGAATCTGCTACCTTGAAGAAAAGAATTGAAGGCGTGCAACGACGTGCTTCGTTGTGGATTTTAAGACTTAAACGAGGTGACTTAGGGGCTGTTTATATGGAAGCGAGCCAGCCCGGGTACCCGAGCTGGCTCGCTTCCCCGAGATGAATTTCACCACGCGTTTACATGAAACTTTTGGGGCGGGCTGACTTGTGAAAACAAATACAAATTTTCGCGGGAAAGTTAAATGCAAAATGGCGGGTTTCAAAATTGTTGCATTAATAGCTTCAGTGACGGCCCAAATTGGAGCTTTTACTGCCCTTCTTTTGCAACTATATGGCCTTATTCTCTTGTGGAAAATTCACGAGAAACAAAAGAAGAATACGATGTTGATAGCGCTTCAAAATTGGCGCAGTTATTTCTTGAGAAAGCTAAAGGTACTAAGGCAACGAAGGTTAAGACAACGTAATAGAAGTTGTTGGTTTAAACCTGGCAGATCAGATCAATGGTGGATAAAGATGATAAATGGCGAAGCACCTGATGAATTCTGGATGAAGAATTTCCGCATGACCAAAGAATCGTTTCTAGAACTTGAGACTGAGCTTAAACCTTACATTTCACCCGATCCCAGTTCACCTAACCACAGAGCACTAGATAGTGCAAAGAAACTGGCTGTTACATTGTACTATTTGAAAGACACTGGCTCCCTCATTATGACAGCAAATGCTTTCGGTATAGCTGTCTGTACAGTTTCTGGTGTTGTAGTTGAGGTTTCCAATGTGATTTCAAAAGTACCTGGGCCGAAGTATTTGCACTTACCTGTAGATGAGAATGAAATGAGGAAAAAGGTCTGTGAGTTCGAGACAAAATTTGGCATTGTACAGGCCTTTGGATGCATAGATGGAACACATGTTCCTATCCTTCGACCACTAAAGGATCCACAAGATTACTTTTGCTACAAAATGTTCTATTCATTAAATGTACAGGCTGTGTGTGATTATAGAGGCATATTTATGGATGTTGAATGCAGGTGGCCAGGAAGTGTGCATGATGCAAAAGTTTTTGCAAATTCCTCTATTAATCAGAAATTAGTTTCTGGCCAAATTCCAATGATACAACTGTCTGTTTTCCCAGGCTCAGAAAAAATACCAAACTATGTAATTGGGGACCCTGCATACCCATTGACTCCATTCTGCATGAAGGAATATGCCACATGTGCTTCAAATGAAGAAGTAATTTTTAATACTCTTCTAAGAGCAGCTAGGAATCCAATAGAATGTGCTTTTGGTCGACTGAAAGCAAGGTGGTCAGTTCTTACAAAAAAAGTTGACTTAAAGATTGAATCAATTCCAGTTGTTGTATATGCATGTTGTGTCTTGCACAATTATTGCGAAATTAACAAATCTTATGTTGATGAAGATCTTCTTAAATGCCAAATGGATTTGTATAAAAAAAATGAAGATCAAAACCGACACCTTGTTGACCCAGTGTACTCAGGTGATCGTAGTGAAGGTGGTGTGGTTCGCAAAACAATAACAAACTACATTCGGGATAATTTACCTGATCATCTGGTACTCTAAGATTGAAAACTTGATGTTTATTAATCAAAAACAATAACAATGTTACATATATAAATAAATATATATACATAATGTTCACTAAATTAAGTTCAAGTTAAGCCAGTGTTAACATTCATCACTGTCTTCTAAATAACTTTTATTTTAAAACTTTCAAAAGAACAGTGCTCATGCTGTGCTTTTTAGTTACATGAACCCAGTTTATTTAAAGCCTGTATGGTTTTCAATGAAGCAACGCAAGCATAAGCATAACACAAGAGCCGTAGGCTTTGGTGAGCTTATATATACTGTAACATAAACAGCATAAGAGGTTGTCCTCAGTTGTGCAACACTGATGCAAGCACAAAAAGAATGTAAGTCCTTGATATTTTTGCTAAGTTTGCTTATGGTTGCGCTTCATGTTTTGGCTATCCTCACTAGTGAATATGCTCAGTTTAGTGAAAACCAGGCTTCAACATAATATGGAATAACAGATGTTATTAATAGAAACCCTAACAATATCAATTTAACATTCCAAACTCAAATATATGCAACAGTCTGCTGCTCTATATTACCTAAATTGTAAGATGTAAATAGAAACAAGCTGTTTATTCGTTGTTTGGTTCAATGTTGCTATTACTTGGACATGGTGGGTTATGAGGGTACATACCATTGTGGGTTTGAAATACTGGGGGTGGGTGTGACATTTCACCATGTTGGTAAAAGAGATTTTGATTAAATGGCCCCCGAGGCTGAGAATTGGACATTACCTGAGCCATAATAGCTTGTGACATCATTTCCATAGATCGAGAAATTCCATTTCCAACATTCATGATGGAAGTGCTCACATCCTTTAATGCAATTGCAAAAGATTCTGTCGACTGCCGTGTTGCTTCTGCCAAATTTTTGCGAAATGTAGAATCCTCTTTTGCCTCGTTTAGTAACAGCTTATCTCGCTGTGCAGCTGAGAGAGCCTTCTCTAGGTGCTTTCGCTTATTGTCAATGAGGTGTGGGATTTGGTTACTAATTTTTCTTTTTTGGGCCACTTCAGCTGCTTTGATGACATCATGTATATTACCATCAGGCTGGCCAATATCGAGGTCAAGATCTGCCATGTCATGCTCATTTAAAGTTGTCTGTTCGTTTACGTTGTCATCTTCGACTACTACTGAATTCACGAGGGTATTGTCCTCACTCTCCTGCTCTGCACCCTGGAAGTTATCCGATATCACACCAAATTCAAGGGGCTTAGTGGCAGCTGAACCTCCCCAGATTACAACTAATTCATCGTAGAACTCGAATACGATTTTTCCGCTTCCACTTCGTCGGCCGTTTGTCACTGCTTGAGAAAAGTTTTGTCTTATATCTTTAATCTTTTCCCTGATTCGTGAATATCCCTTCTTGGTCAGTTCATTTTCAGCCTGATTTTGCTTTGTATATTCTTCTTTTTCTTCCTTGCACATGGTCGAAAATGGTATATTTGGAGGGGAGAGAAATACAGGTCCAAATATTGAGGTATCTTCATCATACAACCACAAAGGATACAACTTTGCCATTTCTTGTCTGACCCATGTGTACTGAGCTGGTCGATCGCCATCGAAATCAACGTTTTTGTATTCCATTTCACTCTTATAAGCTTGAAGGCATTTTATCAAGTTTTCCACCATTCCTGTTTCCCAACGAAATTGCTTCGGTTTTGGTTTTCCACGCGCTTTTGAAGGTTTTTTTGCCGAAACTTTGCACGAAGAAACTTGTTGTTCTTCCGCCATCTTGAAAATGAACACGTGCATTTGGGCATGCGCACAAAGACATTATTTTACTTAAAAGCCGAGCCAGCTCGGGTAAATGCGTTTATATGGAAAACTACCCAGCCCGTTTACCCGAGGTCTCGGGTCACACGAAGCGGGACCTCGGTCAGGCGGGCCAGCTCGGTTCTCATGTAAACGCAACATGAAATTTAGTAGGAAATATTAACAAAGACGGGATCCCGCCTAAAGCGAGCTAGCTCGGGTACCCGAGCTGGCTCGCCTCATATAAACAGCCCCTTATTCATGGATCTGGCCAAGCAGCAAATGCAGCTGAAGATGTAAGAAGTATTATATCCAATTGGTTGTGGGCAGTGTGACAAGAGAGGGCCTTGATGCAATGATTATATTAGAAACTGGACATCATTTATAGTTGTAACAAAAGTGTTTTTAAAATATTCTACCAATTCCTTTGCTCACATGAACCAAATGATTCAGCAAGAATTTTATCAATTAAATAAGAAATTATCAAATTAATATATAACTTACAGTGGCAAATTATTTGGTTCAAGTGTCAGAGCAATTTAAATGAAAATTTTGTGAGAAAACTTCGCCACAACCGTGATACAAACACCTTTTATCAGGTTACAATGATTTGATATGGTTAAAAAGTAGAGGTTCATCACAATTTTACGTAAAATTATCAAAGAAAAGCTGGCTGCCAGCTTTTCTTATGGCTTTATTTTTTCTTTCATGAATGCCCATTTCCATGCTCATTTTCATGCTCATAAAAATAAAACACATTCACTCTTTAACCAATTAAAATTGTCATTTAACATCAATTAGGCCTTCACCTTGTATGAACATTTACTGGAATCAAATTAGATAGTTTTCACCTGTCTAGTATCCTGGTGCACCTCTAATAATTACACTACAACCAAGCCAAAAACTAATAACGTAGCCAACTATGCTACGTTTATTCTTGTGTTATTGTTCAGAGACAAAATTAATACCTTGAAATATGCTGAAACACTACTAAATTACTTAGCATAAATTATTCAAATTGTTATCACATACTGTAAAATTATTATGATTGTCTGAACAAGAAAATGACCACTTTCATATAAAAATAAGACAATTTTAATCGCTTTCCATCTCTGATCTGACTTATTGACTTGCTGTCCACAGGAACATTAAGAGTTTAAGACAGTTAAATAATGGTATTAATGCTGTAAGACCATGCAGGCCTAATAGATAGGTTCATCTAAAAATTAATAAACTAAGTCCTAGTAGATTTGCATTGTAAACACATGGCTTTATATAGCCCATGTAAAACAATGTTATATTTGTGGCATCATATTGAACAAATCATAGAGGGGATAGTATAACTAATATTAACCATTTACCAATTTAAGTGGTACCATACATCATAACATAGCTTTGCTTTGTTTACACCATTACACATGATAAACTCTATATTACACAAGCATTAACACCATTACATATGATAAACTCTATAAAATATATGCAAACTAAACAACCAAATACAGGAAACCATAAACAAAACAATCCAAAACAAACAAAATCAAACCTTTGAAATATCAACAACTGAACTATATTGTTCAAATATTAAAACTGACTAGTCACTGTCTTGCTGTTTTTCACTTAACTTAATTATGTCCATACCAATGTTGGCTGTGCTGACGTGATGCGGGTGTGTCCAGCCCTGTAAGAGCAGTGCTATCATGTGTGGTTGGTACTTGGTACTCATGTTGAATGAAATTAAAACCACTATATGGATACATGTTGTGAATTGGTTGTTGCTGAGCCATTTGGACATTTGAAGCTTGAAGATGTGGAGGTTCTGGTTGATTAGGTCTAGTGTATTTCATGACCATTTCCATCATCTTCAGTTCATGTTGTCTGTTGAGCTCTGCTTGTTCTCTTTGAAAGTTTAAAAATTCATCGTGCCTTTTCTTCTCAGCTTTGGAAATTAATTCAGATCGCTTCTCTTGCATCTCCCCCATATCAGAAAAACTCTTTGCCATATTTTGAATTGCTTGTGCTTGGCTTAAAAACCCTCTTTTGAAAAAAGGTTTGGTTTCAAGTTTAGCTTTACATTTCCTTTTGGTGCTACCACACGAACTACTGTTTGTGCTGGCTTCTAGGACATTATCATCACTATTATCACTCCCTCCCCAAGTTGATCCAAGGCTAAGGCCGCTGGTGTTATTAAAAGGTGTATCTGGTCGATCAACTGCATCACTTTCTTTGTCTGAATCTGTCAATGAATTATCCGAGTCGTGAGATACAAGTACATCGCCACTACACGAAACAACATCCACATCCCCAAAGGTATCAGAAAATACAGGATTTATGATGGTGAACCACTCTGGCTCATCAATCGGTGCCTTTCCACTTCCTTTTTTAACACGATCTGTACATTTTCGCCATTGACTTCTAAGAAATTTATACTTGACCCGAAGCCTAGGTGGCGTAATTTCCAGGGCAGTATCTCTCAATTTTCGCTTCGACTCTTCTCTTTCCCGTTGGTTTTCTGCTTTGAACTCGTCAGATTTTAAGTGCTTTTCAAGATCTTTTGCGATACCTTCGTATACACACAAATTTGCAGACTTTTTCAATGCGAGTGTTTCTAGTTGAACTGCGTACTGCTTCTTCTCGTCTGCTAGTGCAACTGCAAAATATTTTAGTTCTGTTTCGGTCCAAACTCGCTGTTTTTTACCCTTATTTCTCTTGTTTGAATCACCAACACGAGTATTGCTTGCATCAGCCATATTGGATTTTTTGGCGAAATCCGCTGAATGCGAGTAATGAAGTATCGGATTTTCCGTAGTGCGTCCATATGCCGTATTTATACTCACGGATGATCCGTCAAGACGAATTACGCACGCAAGTTCGTCTAACTAGACGAACTATGCAGATAATTCGGCTTCACGGATGATCAGTCTGTTTGCCCGCGTTTATACACCGACCAACTAGAAAACGAACTACCTTTTGCTTGCCCAAGTTCGTCCAGACGGATGATCCGTCTCTAGTATAAATCCGGCCATTGTTATTTACTAATAAATAGATGCAGCCAGCCAATACACAAATCCGTGCAGTATATTAATGGCTTAAATATAAAGAGCAGAGCCCAGCAAATAACTTTAAAACCAAACATAATAAAAGTAAAAATTTAATTAGCTAATGTTTCGTTCAGAGCAATCTAAAAGTTTTCAGGTGTCCAAAAAAATACCTGCACTATAGTGATAATAAGTCCATACCAAGTTAATATCTCTATAAACATATGAATTTTAGGTTTTTATACTGAATTAAATATCATGCAATATCATAAGTTGCAATTAATCAAGCCATTGATATTTTACTGATCAAGATAGGTATTTATAACTAACCCATTTGTTCCAGGCTTAATTGCATGATACCATTGTAAAATCGTCTGGTGTTAGGCAGAGTAAAATATGAAGTAGGGCACATCTGGGCACATTTATTGCCACTTAATTAAAGGGTTAATATAGAAATTTTGTATTTCATAAAGTATTACAATGCTTTTGAAAGGGATAATTTTAAGTGAAACCCACCAAAATAGAATTGTGAACTGATGATACAGAACGTACCACTGGTAGCTAGGGATTGTGGGGCACTAAATTTACTGTTTTCGTAGATTTTTGTCCAAGCAATTAAGTTATAAAGAACAGAATAATAGTGTTGCCACATTCATGTAGTTCTATAGGCAAATGGTTGATTTGTCAAATATCAATTATGGATTGTTTCATTATAAACACTGGGATGCTCATACTGGATGGTTGTATAATAAGCAAAATTTGCCTTAGTAAAGTAAGCCAGTTTCTAGGCTGGCTTGCATTACATATAAACATCCCCTATAATCCTACTATAGTTGGAAAAAATTAAGAAGTAAAACAAATCTAGAATTAAATATATTTCCCTTCAATATACAATTTGTAGTTATAGTTGTATATATAGGCACAAAAATGGCTGAAATAGTTTAAAATTCAATAAAATGTCATTGTGTCGACATGAAAATATTCTACCAACTGTTTTTGTAGCCATAGGTGTTAATTTAAACCATGCAATTAGTGCTCAATATATCTTATACAGTATGTGGCCCAGTTTTGGGTCATTTCAGGTTTGAACTGCTATATCTTCCTTTTCAGGAAAGGTACGATTTTTAAATGCTCACTTGAGAATAGGAAAGGTGTTTCTTAACAATATTTCAAAAGATTGACTTTTCTTACCTTTCACTTTCAGAATTATTTATATTTTTAAGAATCATTTTAGGTGCCCAGTATCGGGTCAACTGCACCAGTATCGGGTCACTTCAAGTTTCTTTGTTTATTGTATAAAAGCGTTTGTTTTATAGCAATTTTCGATCATTTTGTATACTTTCAACATCTCTTAAGTTATTAACAATTTTTTTGTGAGGTTTTGACAAGGTTTAGACATGATATTTCCAGCTTGAAACTACCTCTTCTACACAGTTTTTGTGGAGTGCGTTCTAAGCAGTGCTTCCACTTTCAAAGGTTGAAACATAGCTGACCCGAAACTGGGCCACAAAGCCAAACTAAAACGTAATTTGTGGGACCAGAATATATCTCTGAAATTCTGAATAATTGAATTGCCATTTCATATTTATATATTCTCGGCAATAATCTATCGTTAGGACAAAATTGGGCAGTTACATGGAGAATTACATATCAATAATACGATTTATTGTTATTAGTTAGTTTTACTGCACAGTGAAATGAACAAATTTTAGTAAAAGAATATAAACATACCCGGACAAAAGGGATTCTTGTTTGAATACAGTTCAACTAAAAAGCCTGCGAAAACTATCATCCAAAAAAGGAAAGGTTCACCATTATATCTATATATTTTATTTCGCGTCGCTTTTTATCTCGGCGGAAAAAAATGAAATCAAATTTCTATTGACCCGCTACTGGTACTGACCCGAAATTGGGCCACATACTGTATAGATTCTTAGTGACATACAAGTCTATGCCACTACACCACTACAAATCTGCATTCATAGTTCATACGATTGAGCATCTCATGGTTTAAATTAACACCTACGGCTATAGTACAAAAACAGTTGGTAGAATATTTTGTATTTGTATTTATTTGTATTTAAAAAAGAATCTCTGTTAGCTAACACACAAGGTCTTAAATATAGGATTACACTACAAGATAAAAAGTCTAATAAATCTAGGTATTCATAAAAATTACTAAAGTACGTTAAAAGTTAAAATAGTCAATTATGATTATATAAACCAGTCTAGCTGTTTAAGAACAGCAGACTTAAACATAGATTTCGAAGATATGAGCTTAATAGTACAGTCTAAATTGTTCCATAGATCGATAGCTCTAGTTCTAAAAGCCCGAGCTAAAAAGATTTTCTTCTTTAACATAGGTTTTTCTAACAACATATCACTTCGACACCTCGACGAAAATCTTGTATTGTGTTCATGCGTAATTTCAAATGGTTTAAAATTCACGTAAATAGCATTTGGTTCACCAGAATAAAGTACATTATGCAATGCCATTAAGGTTCTGACATGAATCCTTTGTCTCACTGTTAACCAACCTATTTCATCATGGAGATTTTCCCTAGATATTTCATCAACCTTATATCCTAGGATCAATCTGGCGGCCTTGTTCTGAAGTTTTTGTAAATTATTAATCGACTCTTGATTTTGCACAGATCCCCAAACCGTACAACAATAGTTCAATTTTGACAGTATGAGTACCTCAGCGATAATCTTTAAAACTTTTAATGGAATATATCTGCTGAACTTGAACAGTAAGCCAAGAGCTTTGGAACAATCTTTAAGTAGATCTTCACAATGCTGCTTCC